TTCAACTGTGCACATTAGCACAGAGCACATTATTCCAAAAGGCCTGGTCTTTGCCTGCATGTTCATTGGTAGTTTTGCTCTTTTGTTTTTTGGACAGCAAAGGCTTTTTCCTGCCAAGCCTCCAATGCATCTCAAATTTGTGCAGTCCCATTTGTACACATGCACCTTCACACCAAAAGTTGCTGATCCTGTGATGAAGTTTTGGGGTTCCTGGAAACTTGTTTTTGCAACAAATTGGGAGTCATTTGAAATCTATACTACCTGTGGATGACTTTTCCTTACAGTGGGATGATTGCTGATAATTTGGAGATGTTTTTAAATCCCTTGCCGGACTCATACACATACACAACCTTTGTTCTAAAGGCCTTAGAGCTCTTTGAGCATTTAGATTTTGGTATGACGTGACGTAATATGGAATAATAATTTTATAGATTTTTAAATTGATTTCTAATTATTTTAACTATGAAAATAGCCACAAAATGTCAACTTTGTCATTGTTTGCAACTGCAAACCATTGCAACAGAAATAATAACCATAATAAAAAAAATCTATGATCTGAAGTTTGTAGGGACACTGAAAAATAATGCTGATTTATTTAGTACATAATCTCACACTTGTAATCATTCTACCCACAGTTCTGACAGTTTTAGAGTTAATTATAAAAATGTCCTCTAGTGATGTCCTCAAGGGGCATCTGAATCCTTGTTTTGACAAACGAAGTTATGGACATTAAAAAATAACAATAACCCTATGCAATCCCTTTTGCTGCTTTTTCATAGTCATATAATTGAATTGTATTTAACAAAAGGATTCAGTGTAGTATGGATTTTTTATTTTAATTGAGTTCTAATTATTTAAACTATGTAAATAGTTATAAAATGTCAACTTTGTCATTGTTTGAGTCACCTTCATTCATTAATTCATCTTCATTAATAGGAATAGTTTCAAACAGGAATGTTTACTTGTCCAAATATGTCAAAATTGTTCACAGTTCCTATGGTATTGTTCACACCACTGCATTTAATTACTAATTTTTTCATAATGCAATTATTTAAATTTATTTTTTTAATGGATGTTTCCCATGACTATTTGTCAAAAAAGTTGAATTTCACAATTGCAAATGATGGTTCAACTAAATGGTTCAGCTATTGAAACTGTCTTGCACGTTTATAGACCTCCAAAAGGGGTCCTGGTTGAACATCCAGAAATATGAAACAAGTCTTGCACTTCCACTGACGTCCAAAAGGTCTCCAAGTCAAATGTCCATATATAACCCATTTTGAACATCTACATCCAAGAGAGTCCCTGGTCAGAAAGTTAAAATATGAGACCTATTTTGTATGTCTACTGACATCCAGTAGAGGTCCCAGTCAGACAGTCAGATAGTGCACCCGTCTTGCACGTCCACTGACATCCAATAGAGGTCCTTGTCAGACGTTCAGATAGTGAACCCATCCTGCACGTCCACTGACATCCAGTTGAGGTCCTTGTCAGACGTTCAGATAGTGAACCCATCCTGCACGTGCACTGACATCCAATAGAGGTCCTCGTCAGACGTTCAGATAGTGCACCAGTCTTGCACGTCCACTGACGTCCAGTTGAGGTCCTATTCAGACGTTCAGATATTGAACCTGTTTTGTACGTCCACTGACGTCCAGTTGAGGTCCTATTCAGACGTTCAGATATTGAACCTGTTTTGTACGTCCACCAGACGTGCAAAAGTGGGTCTGGACTGACCGACGTAATACAGACATGATCTGACGTCGCATGTTTGCTGGGTCTGGAAAATGAATAATTTTTTTTTAATGGTCATTTTGACTGGAAATTGAATAAATGAAGGGTAGTCCCAGACTTGTACGATACTGTAGATAGTTTAAGCAACTTAATGGTTCAAACTATTTCATGAAATTAGACCTCTGAGGTGTCTATAACATAATTAGGATCAAGGAAGAGGATGAATGGAAGACCATTTTCTTACAGCCACAATGAATATCTTGTTATGCCATTATTGCTTTGTGATACCCCTCTTTCTTCCAAGGGTTCTTCAGTGAGGTTTACAGGGACATGCTAACCCATTTGTTTTTGGAACTGCCCTGTGAGTTTGACTGCCAGGTTCTTTTTTGCTCCATTTCTCTTTTGCTGTTGGAACAGCAGTGAATGGAAATATCACATGTAAGTATTCAGACTCTTTGCTATTATGTTCAAAACTGAACACAAGTGGATCCTGTTTCCAATGATCATCCTTGAGATGTTTCTGCTACTTCTGATTAATTAGCCTGTGCTAAACTCAGATGATTGGACATGCTTTGGAAGTGCACACATTTGTCTACTTAAAGGCCCACGGGGACAGGCAGCGATCAAGCCATAAGCTCCAAGGAACTATAAGTAGACCTCTGAGATAGGATGGTGTTGAAGCACAGATGTGGTACCAAAGAACCCAATGACCACAATCATAAAGAAATTTGGAACCACAAAGACTCTTCCCTTGTATTGGTCACTTGACCAAACCTAGCAAACAGGGAGGTTATCAAGAACCTGAAGGTCACTCTGTCTCCAGAAAGAAAGCCATCTCTGCTCCAGTCGGGACTTTATGGTACAATTTCCAGATGGAAGCAGGATTTGTGTGTCCTGCCTCCAACATTGGATGTGGATGTGATTTCTCACACTGCACCGTCCATCCCTGGTACACACATGACACTCTGGATCAAGGAATGTTAAGTGCCCGCACTTCGTTAATGGAATATCCCATCCATCTGGCACCCGCTATCAATGGATGTTCCCAAGCCATCCCCTGAGGTAACACGAATTCATAATCAATTTACACACTGCTATCCCATGACTTCTGGCATATCAGTGTAAATTACACATTCATACCACATGATATCCTTACACAAGCAACATATGACATGTCATGTCTTATAATGTCTTGTGAAATTCTCAGTTTGACTTGTGTTTGAATACAAAATCTCTACATTTAAATGCTTGGTTGTAAAACTCTGTTTTAAAGAAAGGGCTGAACAAACTTCTGGAGCTTTTCCCACAAGCTTACATTGCAGCAGCAATGACCATAAACTTTTGGGCCAGTTCAACTTTTTAGGTATACATTCAAACACAGAAAAATAAGTGTCTGCCTTATTGTCTGTAAACGCCTTTTAATCTCCAACTCCAGCTTCCTCCACCTCACCTCCAAGCGGATGTCTTCTAGATGGGACCAAGGACCAATTGGGTCTACATTTGAACACTTGTCTGACCCCAATGCGTCCTTAAGCCTGACACCAGCATCCACCACTCCTAAAACTTGATCTAGCTAATGTACAACACTAGGGGCTTCATCCTGCTCTGGCAAAATCCCCTCCACTACTAATGCAGCAACAGAGCAGCCTTCACAACAGTCTTGGTAACTAGAGATGGGACTGACACACCAAAAAAGTAAGCAATTGAATGCCGTCCTTCCGACAGCTATCAAAAGCCTCCAATGTGGGGCAGAGAGCAAACTCTGTGAGACTAAACGCAGCCATAGCAGCCCACAAACAAAACAGGCCCACTACTCCAACACCCCCACCCACAAAATGAAAGACTCACCAGGCAAAACAAGAAAGAGAGGATGAGCCCCCAAATTCTGTGATGACCCAGTCTAAAGTTGAGCCACAAGAGAATGAGAAAATGATATATACTAGCAACAGCTAATGGAACAAGGAAATAAAAACAAACAGACTGGGATGAAAAAGTAAAAAGTATCCTGTAAAAGTTCTGAACAAAGACAAACACCAGTGCTGACTTCAGGTTGGCAGATAGTCTGTCTAAATAGCTCCCTAAGTAACCACAAAACAGATATACAAACCTCCACTCCCAACATAAATGGCAACCAACCCAGAACACAGAACAGCAGAAATACAGATGATACAGCCAAAAGCACAGTAACCAAGCTAGTGAGCAGGCGAGCACAAGGCTGCCAGAAGACGCACAGACTGGTGCTTTACGTCCACAGGATGTGAGATGGAGCACACAATTTGTGACGTAGAATGCACAAGACACTGGAGGCCAGGATGGCAGCACACGGCTGGAACACTGAGTGAACTCTGCAGAGGAGCAAAACGTGGACTAAAGCAACTGTGTACTGGTGCTGCAGTGCCTGGACAAAAGAGAGAGAGAGACACACACACACAATGTCCACTGCTTATACAGCAGAGCGTAACACCCCAAATGTGAACCTCAAAAGAAAACACAAATCACTAACACCTGGAAAGACCATCTGTGACCACTTCGTCCAAACCTGTTTTTATGGCAGGTGGATAAACAAAAACCTTGCAGTATAAGGGACCAGTGCAATAACACTGATATGTGTTGGACTTAACGACTGAGAAAAACTACAGGGTTGTGGTCAGTGAAAATTGTGATGGGAACAGAACTACTACCAAGCTAACAACAAAGCCAGAGCTTCCTTTTCAATGATGTTGTAGGCTAATTGATGCTTTAATTACTTCTTGGAAAATAAGGTTGGTCAATGTGATCTTCATATTCTTGAAGAACACTGCCAGCACCTGTATCACATGCATCGATTTCCAACTTAAACAGCTTATTGAAATCAAGTGCAGCAAGAACAACGGAACTGATGAGCAGCAGCCGCTTCACAGAATCAGATGCTGACTGGCACTCAGGTGATCACACAAAAGGGACATCTGACTGCAGAAGGTTAATGCAGGATGACACAAGCAGCTATAGTATTGTTTGCACCTCAGCGTCAAAAGGCTTCACACGACCCTGTCCTGCAGTCTTCTCAAGGTAGGAAATAACTCCTTTACACTTTCCAAATATAGGACACTTAATTCACACTTTTCCAAATATAGAACAAAGAAAGCATTTTGCAAACGGCTAAAACTGTCTCTAAAAGCCACTGTTTGTTCATTTTAGAAGATGATCTTGATAAGAGAGTTTGCTTTTTGTGGTGAGATGTTTGTGGTGAGCTGTTTGTGGTGAGATGTTTGCTGTGAGCTGTTTGTGGTGAGCAGAGTGTGCTTACTGGCATATTTAGCACAGAGAAAAGCATCATTGTGGTGGATTAGTCAGAGAAAGTCACAATAAAAACAGCCGACAGGGCCGATACATTCACCTCATCATTCACACATAGAGCGTCAAGACTGCAGTATATCACACAGAGGTAAGAGCTAAAACGCACACACTGGTAGAAACATTCATAAAATTACACTCATGTAAAAAGTGAGTAATACTAAACAGTAAGTCATTGTAGCCTTTGTACTAGTGCTGCATAATACTATTTCACCTGTTTCTACTTAGTTTCTTACCTCTTATGTATTTAAATGTTCAGGGACAGTGTGATGTGTAGACAGAGTTACAGGCTGAAACAGTAAGACTAAGTGGTGTTAGACCCGTAAATGCAAACTTACTTCTTTCCACCTTGTGTTGTATTTCACTGCATCTCACGTCAGGTAAAAAAATCAGTTCTTCAGAATAATGTGGGTGATTATACTGAAACTATGACTCAGATACTCCATTGTAATCATTGTTGTTATGTTACTTTTACATGTTGGCTCACCTACAGACATGGTTATCCAGAAAGAGGCAAATATACTGAGATTCAAATTAATTTCAGTGATGGAAAAAACTTATAATGCAACACTACTTTTTTATGATTAACACTGTATTGATGATTTAGTTGTTCATTTAAAGGGTTCATCACATTCCAACATGTTACAGACATACATGCTGTAAGTCTTCACTCATAGGACCATGATGTTCGTTGTTAACACCATGATTGTGGCAACTGAACACTGTGAAATTATATAAACACTTTATATACAGGAGATGGAGCTCAGTGTAACTTAACATTGTGCATGTGCAGACACATGGGTTGATAAACATTGCTAATAAAATAAAATAAACAAATAAATAAATAGAGCTTCTGTATAAGTTACAGTATAAGTTTAGCTCAGTAGTTAAACACAGAATAAGTAGGCTTTCTACAATTACAAGGCTCACTATTGTAAGTGTAAACAACATTATGAACAGTGCTACCTCAACAGTGAACAAACCCTGGTGTTATGAGAACAAAGTTCCAACCATAACTTAATGTCCTTAGAGGAAAATAGGCCTAGGCAGTGCGCTGTGGGGCAGTGAAGGTGTGAGTGACTTGGAAAGCTAATATCTAAGCTTGTTGTCTGGCCCCAGTCTTGCACATTTCACATGCTCCGAATGAACACGATGGCTTTTGCAGGATCAGTGTAATGCCTTGAACACTCTGTAGTGTCGGTTCTTAATGTAGCTGGGAACAGTAGAACGAATTTGATGCACCTGTCATGCAGGGCTTCTTGCATTTCTTGCATTCCTATCAGGCCACTTTTTACTTCATTTTCACTTTCAAGTGAGAGTCTTACATCTCAGTGGTGAACATGACATCGTAACACAAAAACACAGAGAATACTGCAATATTAATTTACGAGGAAAAACTCTAAAATGCTCTAAATTCACAGGTAGTTTTATTTAGACAGCTCTGTCACATAATTTTCATCTGACAATTGCAATAACTACAGCATGAGCTTCCTTTCTAGTCTTCTATTAACAGCTACAGTAAAGGCAGTGCTGCTTGGAAGTTTGCAAATCCTTTAACATTTATATGAATTTCTACAGGAGTTTGACTTAAAATTAGATCAGATCAGCCAAAAATAGATTTTCAAATAAAACAAATAACATAAGCAATTGTATGGTTTTTCATTCATTTATTGAACAAAACAATCTAACATTATATGTTTTGGTTGGTAAAAGAATGTGAACCTCTAGAATGATCAGTTTGGTATAAGGAATAATTAGGGTTTTAGGCACATGAGTAAATTAAATAAAAAGCTGTTTATCTGGATAATATCCATAATAAGCATTTATTTGCTTAGAAAATGCAAATATTGCAATAAACACAGATAATATTAATACAGTAAATACCAATTTTAAATTTAGTTCATTTTAGTAGAAAATGGCTGATTCCTGAATGTTGCAAAAACCTACATTTATGTAATAAATGTCCTGATCTGCTTCTTCCAATAAATGTCCTAATGTGCCTTTCTTTGGGAGGACAGTCAATATAGTGGCCACTAAAATTCTCAATGAATTGGCAGAAGAAATTGGTGAAGTCCAGAAAGCTTTGAGTCGAGTGGAGAGAGGTGGGGTGCAGCCATGATGACCTTGGTCTTAAAGTGCCTGCTCAGTTGGCCTTTTGACATGACAAACCTATGAAAGGTGACCAAATGAGTGTGGAAAAAGGATTTTTCCAGTTTCACATATAAATGGTTCTCAAGCAAAGCTGGGGAACCCATCGGACATGGACTACAGAAGAAAGCTGGCGCATTTATTAACCTGAAGGACATCATGAGCTACTCATACTGGCCCTATGGAATAATGAATGCTGTCTTCCATTCTCCACCCTGCTGGACCCTAAGGAGGTTATAGGCACTATGTAAGTCCAGCTTATTGAAAACTGTGTCATACACAACAAAGGACGATGCTCCCTGGCGTCGACCCTGGTAATCAATGCAAACGTATAGATCCCTGATGCATTCATCTGTATCTGTTCGCCCAGGACCCAAAAGAGAGAACAGCCTCTGCATTTGCCAGAGATCTCCAGTAGATAGATCAGGGCTGACCAAGAAAGCATTGATCTGATTGGAGGCCACGGCAAGTTTCTCAATGCTGGATTCTCTACTTTAAGACCCCTAGCCCACCACAGACTGGGTGAGCCAATCCAGCCATGTATTGTAACCAGGGAAATTCAAATATCAGCTGCAGTTTGGGGGCCTGGGTAAGCAGAAGAAAAATCTGCTGTGTGTGCTGACCTAGTCATAAGGTGAGGGGCCATGTCTACTGGTTGACCTACTCCAACCCAAGAGGGGCAACTTCTTGGGGCATTAATGGCTAAAACCAGTACAGGGACCTGAAGATTGACTAGTGGCAGGTTTAGGCCAAAGTGGCATAGAGAAAACTGCCTGCCGTCCCATAGACTTGGAGCCATTTTCCATGCTGTTACCCCCAGGAGGGGGTAGCAGTTAGGAAAAGCCTGAGTGCCTTGGCTTTTCCCTTAAGTTCGGGTCATTCAGGATGGAAGTGGCTGGCTTGCCCGCACTAAAGGCACCTGAAGTGAGTCTTCTGTTTGAGTTCTCTAGACTGCTCCATTTCCTGCTCCCAGGGCTCCTATGCCAGCTCCATGCAAGTCTCCAGTGCTGGCTCTCTGCAAGGCTTCTGTTTGAGTCCTGTAGACTGCTCCAGTTCTGGTTTTCCAAGCAGCTCCAGTATCAGCTCCCCATTCTGATCTGGTGCCAGCCTCCAATCAGTTGCTGGTTCCCGGTGCAGCTTGTGTGCTTGCTCCCCATCCTGATCCACAGCTTGTGTGCTTGCTCCTGATCTTCATTGGTTTCCCAATCTGCTGCTGCTCTTCCTGTGCCAGCTCCCCATCCTGATCTGGTAGTGGCTTCTCAAGCTTCTGCAGCTTCTGTGCTGGCTCCCTGTCGTGTTCCACGCTAGAGTTCCAAGCTGCTCCCTTTCCTGTCCCAGTGCCAGCTTTTAGGATTGCTCCTCCTTCCTGTGCCAGCACCCAGAGCCACTCCTTCTGTGCCAGGCCAATGGATAGCTCCTCAGCCGGCATCCTCGTGCCCCACTCACCCTGCCCATATTGCTGGTCCTGCCTTTGTCCCGCTGTTGACCTGGTTTATGGACTGTCCTCCCCTCTGAAACTTCTGCTGGCCGTGGCTGTACCCCCTATGGTCCAGACCCATCCTCTGTTGTGCACTTTGGGAGCTGCACCCTTAGGAGGGCATTCTTTCATGATTTTCCCCCCTCTGGGGAAACTACACTTTGACTCTCCCTAGCTCCACCTACTCCTCCACTTTAGTCTGGCACACTGCATTTAATTTGGGGTTATTAGGACTCTCATAGATACACCTTTGTTTTCTGTGTTTGGTTGCGAAATCTCTGTGTTTTATACCGAAGTTCCGAGCCGTGTTTCCTGGTTTTAAAGATCACAGATAATGATCTTTGAGGCATTGCCCTCAATCTGTTCCCTTTTCTTTTGGGTGTGGGTCAGTGGATGGATCTTATAATTCTTACTGATGCCTCCTTGATTCCTCAGCCCCTGACCCAGAAAGTGAAGTCTACCGTTTTTCAGGACATATCAACACTTTAAATGTGCTTGGAAGTATCAAGGAGTATGGATAGAGGAGTCATAGGCTACGTTTACACAGCAGGTAAAAGTGGCCCAAATCCGATCTTTTTCCTTATATGTGACACAGATGTGTCATCTGTGTGTCAGTGTGAACAGCAAAAAACACATTGAATCTGACATTTTCAATTCCGATTTGAGATGCTTTCATATGTGGTACTGAAATCTAATACGTATCCGATCTGCAGCAATGTGACTCAGTCTGAATAGCCAGATTGGAATTCATGTGACTTTTACATCAATCCAACTCGACATTCGTCATAATTTCGCACTGCTGAGACTCATAAATATTTAGGCTGATGTTTCTGTACCAAAACATTAGAAGAGACTCATCGCAGCCGCTCTGTGTTCAAAAGAAACGGCCGAACGCAGCTGGAGGAGACCGAGGCTGCAGCATTAGACAACAGTTAAAAGAATCCGAGGACACGAACCAAAGAAGTGGCCGTGGCCGAATAACGTGCCCTTTTTTGATGAACTCAAATACATTGTGGGTGATGAGCCCAGCTGTCAGTCATTGGAACTTTATAATCGCTCCTGTGATACTGGCGAAGACGAAACTGAAAGCTCTGGGAGCGACTGGCGTTCGCTGGCCATCATAATTGTTTATCCTTGGATGAGCCGCCACGTGAAGCATTGTTCTTTTGCGCATGCGGGTCGGTTTAGGAGCGTGATCTGTTCAGACTGATGTCACATACAGGTCACATTTAAAAGATAATGTGAACAGCCAAACAAAAAAATCGGATTTGGTGAGAAAATCAGATTTGGGCCACTTTTATCTGCTGTGTAAACGTAGCCATAGACCCTTAAAGGGCAGGACTTTTTTCATTAGTAGGAAAGCACTATTTATGCATTTCCTAAGACGATCTAAGTAAGAGTGTCGCTAGATTTGTGGTAAGCTGCATGTGGTAAGCAGTTGACAGAGCTTCAGGGCTGCAGAACATTACACCCATGTGAGAACGAAAAGACTAGTACACCCGTAGACGCATTTATAAAAATTGCACTAATGTAAAAGTACTAGTAGCACTCTACCATACACATCGGTAATAACTGGGCAATGATATGGGCAATAAAATCACTTGCTAATTTTCAAGTTTTTAATAAATAATAAGTGATTGTAGCAAAAAACATCAGCCATGAAATCTTAAAATAATGTTAACAATTTGTACTGACCTAAAAATTACTGATAAATGAATGAAATTAATCTTTTAGCCTGTTTTGGAGGTCCCTCAGTTCAGCCATAAATATTTATATTTTTGAATAAACTAAAAGAAATAGCGTAGACATTTTAATGAATTAATTTATGTGGCATGCGCCCGCCCCCCGGGCCCCGACGATGACGGCCGCGAGAGCCGGCAGGAAGGCGGAGCCCAAACACACAGCGGCGACATACCCTGGAGAGGACAGCAGGGAGAGTGTGGAGGGGGCGGAGCGCAAAGCCCGAGCTCCGCCGACGAACGTGAGTGACGTCATGAGGAGGCGGACGAGGACGATGGCGCCGGCCACGAGAGGCACCGAGGCGAGGAGCGAGTCCTGAGCTCCGCCGCCCGGGCCCCGCCCCCTGTGCCGCAGCGAGGCCGCTTCAGGATACCTTACGTTCGACCCGGGCGGCCGCGCTGCAAGCTGTGGGCGGTGACGAGGAGGCGGAGCAGCGAGCTCTCGTTCCCTCTCGGCTCCAGTGCTGATCTGGCTGGCAGCGTGAGCGCCTTTTAAAGAGCTGAGAGGGAACAGAGAGAGAGAGGGACGAGCAGCAGCAACAAGGACTGAAGAGCTGAAAAGCTTATTTAGGAGAAGGACTGAAAAGTCTGGCTGAAGCCACTGAAAAAGTGGCCAGCATAGTGGATCTTTTGGTTAGGTTTTGCTTTGTGTTTATCTGGGTGTGAATAAAAGATATGGCTGCTGCGACACTGAACCCTGCCTCCAGCGTCCTCCTTGAGCCCGGGGTAGCACATGCCGTACTAAAATTTAATATATCCAATGCCAAATGTTTGAGGGAGGGACAGAAATCTTCATTTTCATAATAATTACGCCTGTAGAAAGGGGTTAAATCAACTGTGTGTCTCACTAATAATTCATTGCTGATCAGAACAGGGGACAGAAAACAGAATAAAACCAGAACAAACTACATTGGAGTAAATTTCCTGATTGAATATACTGTGAATGTAATTAATGTAAACAGAAATAATTTTATTTTAATATATTCTATAAACTTCTTTCAACCCCTATTCACACTTACTCTGTGCAGAATGAGGGTTTTGCTCGCTCTCACCACTCTTGTGGTTGTGGCTCGTGCAGCCAGTGTCTCTCTGGAGGACCTGGAGTTCCACGCCTGGAAACTGAAGTTCGGTGAGTATATACAATTGTGTGCAAAAGTTTGTGCATCCCTGGTCAAATGACATTTGTTGCTCTCATTACATAAATTTTTATTATAATGTTTCTCCAGTAAAGTCACTGTTTTGAAGATCAAATTCAAAATGGATATATATTTTTTAAACAACAGTAAACGAATATATCAAATGTTGAAACAGAGAAATTTAAATAATTAAAGGGTTTCAGTGATTTACACACCTTTGCACTTGTTTTAATTGACATTTTGCCAGTTTACATAGCATCCCAATTTTATGGAAACAGGGTTTTGTGTAACGGGCACCCTGCATAGTCATAGCTTGCAAATGCTTTTTACAGCCAGCTAGGTCTCTCAGTTCTTGTTTGGGGTATGTTTGCTCATTCTTCCTTGCAAAGCATGCACTGCACTTTCAGGGTTTTTCCACAGATTTTCAATGAAATTTAGACCAGCGGACTTTGAGGGCCATGGCAGAACCTTTGGCATGCACCTCTTGAGGTAGTCCATTGTGGATTTTGAGGAGGGTCATTATCCTGTTATAAAAGCCTTCCTCTTTTCATCTTCATCTTGTTCCCTGTGCCACTGGCTGCAACACAAGCCAAAAGCATGATCGATCCATCCTCATGCTCAACAGTTGGAGAGGTGTTCTTTTCATGAAATTCTGCACTCTTTTTTTCTCCAAACATACCTTTGCTCAATGTGGCCAAAAAGTTTTAAGTATTTTATAGATTTGCAAAGTGATATGCAATGGTTTGAACAACTTGATTGAAATGGCTTAGTGAAAATAACACATCCTCTACAGAGAACACACTTCTGCACATTTTAATGCACAATTGCTTTTTACTTACTGTTGCTTCCATGGAAATATGGACTAAGGCTATCATTTAATATTAACTAATAATATTTTTAGATATTTATATTTTATTTTATATTTTACAAAATCTTGTACAATGAAATAATGAAACTAATTTGTTTACCACTAACTAAAAACAGGTTGCATTTTATTCTAAAGCATCCTAATATGGTTTTGGTCTTGACTCAAATTCGACTACTATGAAGTCACGAATTTTTGACTACAACACTAGTATTTAGTCTGCTAATCTGGTATATACAATGCTCTTTTACTACAAACGCTACATAGGCTGTGACAAAATGCAAATATCTACTTCTGTGATAAAAGTCATGAAAGGTAAGATGTAAATGGGCCATTAACATTTTTCATGTCCACCATGGCCATATTCTTTAACCTAGTATACGTGAAAGTGTAGGTTTTCAGTTGTGTGTTGCTTTTGACAGCTCTTTGTTATTTTAACTCCGTTATGTCATCTTCATTGGTAAGTTTATGTGGATCCAGCAGTTTTGTTGATTTGTATAGTTCCAATAAGGCAGAAGAGTTGGAATAGATACGATGATGACTGCACTGCTGTCAGCAATAGGCTGTACCCTGATGTTATCACATTGTGGAGAATATCATGTTTGAAAAATGTGGGTCTACCCACTTTTTCACAGTCTTACCCAAAATGTTTTATTGCCTACACCACTGGCATTTAGAAAACTATATATTTTAGTATGGGCTTCATTTTCTAGAGCTCACAGAGGCAAAAGATGAAGCATTTGTTTCTGAAGCAACCATAAAAAAAAATATTGAAATGGTGAGCATATAAATGCAAAGTAGGTTTGTCTCAGTATATTTCATCTAACTTTGTTGAGCTGAAGCAAACATTTTGTAATGTTATCAACTGAGCTCCAGTTTTCTTAGTGTCCATAGAAATAATGAGTTCCAGTGTGAGTTTTATGTAGTTTCAAAAAGTGTAAACTTTGTTAAAATCTTCTGGAATAAAAATCTTCTAAAATCTTGAAGAATTTGAAGCACATACAAATGTTTTCTGTACTTTTAATGGTGAGTTTTATTGCAGTGTGTGTTAATAGCAGTCTTCCAGTGGTATGTGATTAAAACTAGCTTTGCTTTCTGTTCACTCGCAGTTCAGCATATTGACTGACTCAGAGTGTAAATCTTTATTAATTTCACAGAAGCACTATACTGAAATAGCAGTGATAAACTAGACACGCCCACCGGACGAAACAGTGTACATGAACCATGGGAGATGTAGGAATAATGCTTTGTATGTTTAGGAATAAATCAGTGCAATATTTCTAGAACTACATGTTGGCTTCACTGGTCCCGTTTACTGGTTTAATATAGAGTTTGTCACTTTTTGTGTGCTGCAGTAACAGCCTCCACTCATTTGGGAAGGCTTTACACTACATACTGGAAAATGTTTGTGGGGATTGCCAGTCCATTTCATCCCAAAAATGTTGCATGGTGGTTGAGATGTAGGCCGATCAAGTTCTTCCAAACCAAACTCACCAAATTATTTCTTTGTGGAGCTCGCTTTGTGTTCTGCTGAAACAGGAAAGGGTCTTCCCCATACTGCTTCACAAAGGTGGAAGCACATAATTCTCTAGATTGTTATAGTACACTGTAGCATTAAGATTTCACTGAAACTAAGTGGCCCAAACCAAGAAAAACAGCCCCAGCCCATTATTCCTCCTCCACCAAACCCATCTCAGATTGCCAGATGAAGAATGATTTCTCACTCCAGAGAATGCAGTTCCACTGCTCAACAGCTCAATGATGGGGGTATTGTTACCTTCTAATTGAAGCCAGAACAATGCTTTCTATTGATCAGTGTTTTTCTTTGGCAATTATACAAGCTGCACAACTGAAAGCCTGTGTCAGCAATGTATGCACCTTAAAGTAGCTACACCCTTACCTAAAATAAGTTACTAAATTGGAATAGAATTAATTTTTTATGTTCTGAAGGCTTATATATATATATATATATGCTGTTTAACTATAAGTATATGTATCTGTTTCCTCTCAGGTAAGGGTTATGGTTCAGTGGAAGAAGAGTCTCAGCGTAAGATGATCTGGCTGGACAATCGTAAGCTGGTCCAGGAGCACAACATGCTGGCTGACCAGGGCATCAAAAGCTACAGACTCGGCTTGAACCACTTTGCAGACATGGTGAGAACTCCCATACACACAAACCCACCTAAATGTATTTAATTTTTAATGCAATTTACTGAGTATTAACTGTTTGCAGCTCTGTCATTTATTATGTGTCGCTAAGTTATTTTTGTTAAGTAATTATTTGTGAAGTTAGATGTTAAATCTCCCAACATCTCCTTCTCCAACAGGACAACAATGAGTTCCAGGCCAGGTTCGGCAGCTGCCTGGGATCCTTTAACATGACCAAGGCTCACACTGCAACTGCAGACATCAGACCAACAGGGGGCGTTGATCCACCAAATTATTTAGATTGGAGGAGTATGGGCTACGTGACTGAAGTTAAAAACCAGCAACTCCTTAACTCCTGTTGGGCCTTCAGCGCGGTGAGTTACAGAAGTACAGACAAGGAAAAAAACAAAAGATAACTTGAAATAATAATAAAAAAAAAACAGAAAAATAAGTGCTGACATTGGGCCAGGTTTTCATTCGCGGGTAAATACAGGTATTTCGCCAGAAAAATAAAAATATCAGGGTGCTTTGTGTCTCTCACTGTGTGTTGAGTCATTTAGCTTGCATAAAACTCCCATTTGCAGTATTTAAAATTGTCTCCTCACTATTTACTGCCAGTGCTACAATATATTTCCACAACTCTATCAAAAAAACATGTCTTGTATGAATGTAGGAATATGCTGAAAGAAGCAAAGGCATTGCATGAACCTAGATGTCTAAATGTAGCCCATAGTTGGGCTAGGTTAGTGCTGGTCATGGCAAATTAGCTTGTAATGCCTCCTTGCTCAAACAGCTAATTGCTAAGCATGGACTGTATATACTCAAAATATGTCTACTTAAAAAGTAGACAGAGTACGTCTAACTTAACCATTGCAAGAAAACACAGTAATGTGGACTGAATAAAGCAGCAGCCATGAAAACAATACAGAAATAAAGTAAAATTAGTATCCATGTCATAAATCAACAAATTTGTTTTAGTTAGCAGAGAACTCTTGAAGTAGTCTATTTGAGAATATGTTCTAGGGATAAACACTATGCACATTTTCTATTTTATCTCATGGAGAACATGGTGATCTTGCAAAAAGACAGCAGCACTGACATATTAAAATAATAAGGCGTGAGAGCTCATTTAACCAACAATCAAACTTACACAAACAAAGGTGTGATATCCAGCACAAATTTAGAGTAACGGCAAAGTCAGTAATTCCAGGTTTTTCCTAATAAAAATCAACAAAAATAACCAAACACAAACCAAACAACTTTGTGCAAAGCATTGTCAACTGTTGAAATATAACCGCTCATTTCAGCAAGATATACAGACAGACATGACATTCAGAATCCTTTATTAAACTTCTGCAACATTTTAGCCTCAAAATTCTCATCAGTGACTCTGGCTCTGGGTTGAGAATCAGGCCTGAATAATCTCTCCACTGCTGCATAGCTGCTGCGGCTCCACAGCAGAACTAGATTTTTAGGTAAAATAACATAATCCTCCTTCACTGTAAAATCATTATAACACACAGTTCTAACACAGTTTTCGCAATAAATGGTCTTAAACGCTGGAGTTAACGCATAACTGCTAATTCACCAACCTTTAACGCTGAAGACTGCTGGTCACACAGCAATGCAGATAACGAAAAGGCAAAGAGAGAGATTTAAGAGGAACATTGATAATTTGACTCCTCCTCATACATTTAATCTGCAACCACTCACGAAGCTGAAGCTTTCATTCTCCTGCTTCTCGTTCGAATTCTTCCGTTCCACCTTAAATGGCTCAGCAGTACAATCTGGAACCTCAGGCACCATTTAAGGTGGAACGGAACAATTCGAACGAGAAGCAGGAGAATGAGAAGCGACTTCAGCCTCATAAAAAGTTGAACATTGAGAGACATTTTATAAGAAACTCATGGAAAAGTTTCCTGAGATGCAAGAAAAGCAGCTACAGCTGAGCTAAAGCTTAAAGCAGAGCAAAGTAAATTTGCGTTTCCGTTTATCTCATTTTTAGCCTGAACTAGGACATCAGTGCATACTGAGACATACTTTCAGCCAAGATGGTAAAACGGACATAAAGGTGATTTCATTTTTGTTGAAAGGACAAAATGGCTCTTCTTAACATTTCTGTTGCGACCCCTGAGGGGTGATCAGCGCGTGGGGCCAGCATGTGACTGTTTGCTCAAACTATCCGCGGCTCAGTCAGGATTGCACAAATGCCATTAGCCCAGTTAACGACCGCGTTGTGTGGTTCAGATTTTGTAGCAAAAATTATTGCTATAGCTCCTAGATACATTTCATAAACTGTAGCGGCTACAGCTATTAGCTACAAGAATTGTAGTTAACTACAAAAAGTAGTGCGCTACTTAGCTACTCCCCCATCCCTGGTGGTGGTTCAATGGTGATACTAGGTACAAGGCGACCTGAAGTTAAACTTGTGGTGAAATCATTGCAACACATGGCTTGAAGTGGCTTATTGCTTTTAAAATGGCAATGACAATATAATATACACTATAATATAGTATAATAAAATATAGCAAAATGTAACTTTTAATAAAAAAAAATAGATTAAAGGATTTTATGGACAACAGTAACTGTTTTATGTTTTTTAATAGCTTGGTGCTATTGAAGTATAATAAGTATAAAATTTATATCCATGGCAAATGTGGTTCAGCCAATCAGATCTGTTGTACACATACAGATACAAATCATTTAACAACAATACCCATAATTCATGTACATGGATGGGGTCTGATTTAGAAAAAAGTTAAGGTCTGAACGGTCTCTTTAGCACTGTAGGGCTGAACGATTCTGAGCACGAGGGGTAACCATTCCAGTGGCATTTCTACACAGATCCATTTTAACACGGAGCGCCAACAAACAGTGGCTCTGATTTAGTCACACAAAAAGATAGAAAAAGACAGCGTAACCAGTCTCAGGAAAACATACAGTACGGCCCTGGGAACCATTTAGCACTACAGCAGTGCTGTTGGGGTTTCTACAAAGGTCAGTGGCACTGCTAGGCTGGATTAAAATATGAGCTACATTCTGTACTCCATTGAGTTCAAGCAATTTATAAAATTATAATACCAGCTATCAATTATTTATTATTCATGTGTCTGTATGCATCCCTCTCTCACAGACAGGGGCTCTAGAAGGTCAGATGTTTCGGAAGACGAGGAGGCTGGTACCCCTGAGCGAGCAACAGTTGGTTGACTGCTCTCAGGATTTTGGAAACAGTGGCCATAAAGGTGGTTGGCCGAACTGGGCCTTTGAGTACGTCAAGTCCAGAGGAGGCCTGCAGGCAGAGTCCACCTATCCATACGAGGCCGAGGTGACACTAATGACAAGTGGAGCTTCTTTTCCCCTGATCACAAATGTAGTTTTTCAGCCAAATAATTAGTGTCTGACGTTTGGTTCTTTAATTTTACTAATGTAGCTAACAAGAAATGATGCTAACTGCATGCAAATTGTCACACCCTACCATCAAAAATGAATGTTACGAAAGTACAGTAGTACCAGCTTGAAGCAGCTTTTCAAAGCCTGTACTTTGTTTGTAATTGTAAATATTCCTAATTATTTATTTTTCAGCATGAGGTGAAAAAAGAAGTAAGCATTTATTTAACAGAAAATTACACAGAAACCCCAACAAACTACAACCCCATTTCCAAAAAAGTTGGGACGTTGTGTAGAATGTAAATAAAAATAGAATGCAGTGATATGCAAATCATGTAAACCATATTTTTAAAGGAAAATACTACAAAGACAACATATCAAATGTTGAAACTGAGAAATGTTACTGTTTGTTGAAAAATATATGCCCATTTTAAATTTGATGCCAACAACACATTCCAAAAAAGTTGGGATGGGGACATGTTTACCACTGTGTTTCATCACCTCTTCTTTTGACTACACTCTGTAAGTGTTTGGGAACTGAGGAGACACTGCTGTAGTATTGAAAGTAAAATGTTTTCTCATTCTTATTTGATATAGGATTTCAGCTGCTCAAAAGTTCAGGGTCTCCTTTGTCATATTTTTCATTTCATAAAGCGCCAAACCTTTTCAGTGGTGACAGGTCTGGACTGCAGGCAGGCCAGATTAGCACCTGGACACTTTTAATACGGAGCAATGCTGTTGTAATACATACAGAATGTGGTTTGACATTGTCTTGCTGAAATAATCAAGGCCTTCCCTGAAAAAGACGTCATCTGGAGCTGAGTGGTTTTTAGCCTGGAGGACACAGCGTCCGTGATTTCCAAAAAGAGTTTTAACTTGCATTTGTGGATGCAGTGATAAACTGTGTTCACACAAAGTGGTTTTCAGAAGTGTTTCTGAGCTCATGCAGTGATTTCTACTACAGAATCATGTCTGTTTTTAATGCAGTGCTGCCTGAGGACCCAAAGATCATGGCCAGCCAGTAATGGTTTTCAGCTTTGCCCCTTGCATACAGAGATTTCTCCAGATTCTTTGAATCTTTTAATGATATTATGTACTGTAGATGATGAAAAGCAAAAGTTCTTTGCTATTTTATGTTGAGAAATGTTATCCTTGAATTGTTGCACCATTTGATTGTACAGTCCTTTACAGAGTGGTGAACCCCTCCCCATCTTTACTTCTGAGAGACTCAGCCTCTCTGAGATGCTTTTTTACCCGATCATGTTACTGACCTATTGTCAATCAACCACCAGGTAGCATTACACAACTTTACCAGCCCTTTTGTTGCCCTCGTCCCAACTTTTTTGGAACTTGCTGTTGGCATCAACTTCAAAATGGGCGTATATTTTTCAAAAAATAATAAAATTCCTCAGTTTCCACATTTGATATGTTGTCTTTGTACTATTTTCGAATACATACAGGGTTTAAATGATTTGCACATCATTGCATTTTGTTTTTATTTACATTTTGCACAACGTCCCAACTTTTTTGGAAATGGGGTTGTATTTAGTGACCTCTTCATACCGAAAAATACTGAGATTCACTGTCAGGTCTTAAAATATATATTCAGGTCTGCACACTGGGGTGGTCAGTTCATTGTTTTGAGAACACCAGCAACTTTGACTTGTCAAGAAATAGTCCTGCTTGTTATTTACTTTAGCCTCGTAACTCTTGTGTAAAACTAAAAAAGCAAAGCATATCTTGGCTACATTTGTGGTGGGGGGTAGACATTTTTCACCAAGCTTTCCCTTTAAACTTTGAACTAGAAGGCTAGCCATCCATACATCCTGATTGTTTCTGTTTTTCTCCAGGTTGGGTGGTGCCGGTTTAATCAACAGAATGTTGTAGCTACCTGCAAGGACTACAAATCATTGCCCAATAGAGACGAGAATGATCTGCAGCATGCCATAGCCAGAATTGGACCTATTTCTGTAGTCATAGACAATTCCGTATCCACCTTCCAGCTCTATAAGTCAGGTAACCCTCATGAACAAATCTTTACTCATCATCAAGGGTTAAACAGGGTTTTTGTATGTGGGGAGCCCTGTTTTTTCCACAGGTGGAAATAATGTGGGAGCAATATTGTTCAGTTGATTTGTTATTATATGGAGTTCTCACAATGTTATCAGGAAAGTGTTAATAAAAACCAGTAGCCTAAAATTAATAACTAATCATTTTCTGTTTTAATCCCGTTATTAAGTCAGTTAATTTACTTGGCTGTTTGAGTATTACTTGCATATTAATTTTGAAATCAAAATTACAACAAAATAATCATCTCATAATCTTCTGATTTTATCCAGCTTTTCCAGATAAAGCTGAAAGTCACATTAATGCCTTTTAACTGGGAAAATGAACTGTGACACACCCCATCAAGAACCTTCATGACCTTTTTGCTTTTTTTCCTCTCCTGATTTTCTGAGTTTCTGCGTATCTGTCACACTAAAGTGTTTCAGATCCTCACACAAAATGTAATATAAGACAAGGAGAACATGTGGAAACACACAAAGGAAAACATGTTTCGTAACACCGTATGAAAAAGTAATTGCCCCTGAACTTGATAACTGCTTGTGCCACCTTTAGCACTGAAATTGGTATTTTGCTGGAAATCCAGAGCCTCAGAAATAGCTTTGTAACCCTTTCCAGACTGATATATTTCAATTATTTTCTTTGCCATCTCCTCTGGAATTTGAGGCCTTTTAGCCTACTTCACGTTGCTGGACAGGCTCTATTTTAAATGGTGTTTACATTCACCAGGGCTGGCTGTGATCAAGCCTGGTTGTGTGGAGTTAATTTAATTCTAATCATCAACTAAATTTGGTTGATTGGTAGATTGTGTGTAGACTTTAATGAAGGACTGTACTTTTGAACAGTGCCGCTTAGGTTAAATACTTTAATGGATTTATATTGGAAATGATTTAGATTTGGATTAAATTACAGAACTGGAGCACAGCTCTGCTTCTCTTTTGTATGGACCAAATTGTGCCAAAACTCTGCTCCAGTGTATTCAGTGGCTCATTTTAACCTCTGCCCATCACCACGTGCCGTCTCTACTGAGGCACACCTCCGACGATAGCGCCCTGTCAGAAGCTGCTAAGAAAAGTAGTCATATTTTAACCATTACCATGAGCTGTCTGTACTGATCCGCACATCTGAGTGCCAGGATACAAGAGTGAATTTGATGCTGGGAGCTGAGTCTGAGACTGTGGTTAAATGTTCGAATTGCAGGTGTGTATGCTGAGCCAAACTGCAACAGCACTAAGCCAACTCACGCTGTCCTTCTTGTTGGTTACGGCACTGACTGGAACAAACAGGACTACTGGCTGGTAAAGAACAGGTAAACAAACGACATCAAAAAAGGAAAACATCAGAAAGACCCCTGGCGTATGAAATAACATCACCATACAAATGTGTGTTATACATGATGACATAATCCCATCGACCCCATTCTAATCGCCGACACTAATCTGGCTTCACTCTCTTGAAATTTTCTTTTTTCTTCCATCATGCCTGCTTACTCATTCCCTCCTTTCTCATGTTTATCTCCTGCTTCTCTGCCTAGCACATGGCTGTGATTCCAGTCTGTCCCATACTAAGCTTAACATCTATTGAATTTTTGCAAAATTTACTATCTTATGACCAATTTCATATTATATTACATATTTTAGTGATTTAGCATTACACAATTGCTCAACCCACAGATCAAAGCCTTTCTTGTAGTCAACTTCGCTTTGTTTTCTTTCTCTTCTTCCCACCCTCACTCCTTTTGTCCTGCCCTTCCTTATCCCCACTCTTCCCTTCCCTCTTTCTTCTCACTCCATTATCTCTCATTCCTTCCCCCTCTCTTCCTTTATCCCTGTTCTTTCCTCTTTTTTTCATCCTCATCTATGTACAACTTAACCAAGTCCCTATCTCTCATCCTGCTCGCAACTCCTGATCCATCATACCTCCTCATTTCAGGTTTCCCACTTTTCAGCTGCCAAAACCAAACCGATCCTCACCTGCTCCATTGCCCTATCGTTGTTCGGTTGCCAACGCTTGGCCCTCATTGCCTCCTCCTCTTACTTCTGGCCTGCGCCCATACATCCTTTAAGTCTCTTTAATTTCTCCTCTTAATCCTGGTCTTCAGCTAGTTTTGACATTAGGCTGTCCCTCCACCCTGACATCCCACCCACTGATGCCCAACTCTCCATGCATCTTCTATTCCTCTCTGGCCAGCACTAACGTCTCCTCTCGCTCTACACTGGAATTGCTGTCATTTCCCCTGTGACTGATGCCACCACCCCCCTCCCCTGTCCCACCTATCACTACTTGACTCCTCATGCCTCCTCAAGTTTCTCATACCTGCACCCATGGAGCATCCAGGCTCAACTTATCTACCCTATTTGCTCTGCTCCTCAGCTGGCTGCTTAAATCTCTGCCCAATTTGCACCACCATCCCCCTTGGAATTCCCCCTACCAAGGCCTGATACTTGACATCTCCTCTCTCTTCCACTTGTGAATCTTCAAGGCAAAGACTCACATCTGAGTGTCCTAACATGCCCTAACATGGCTTTCATCACTCCTTCACTGTTGACACCAGTGAACCTCCCTCTCTGAAGTTTTTAAATCCATGTGTCTACTGTGAAAATGACCAACAACCTGGCACAACTAAATGTCAGCCTGACACATTGTGTTTTTCGTCAAAGCCTCAAGCCAATGTCTTCTTGCCCAGATAGGCCTCATTATATAGGAAATTAATTATTTAGCCTTGCCTTCAGCTACACATTGTCTCCACCCATTTCTACCAACACTACCAGAATCAAGAACCACATCAATATCTTCTCAAGCATCTTACCCGCCTCCTGCAATGCGGCATTCTCATTCTACCTCTTTACTTCCCAGTCATCTTTCCAAACCTATAAGTGACCCCATGGACATTGCTACATGCCACAGGAGGGAAAAGGCCTAAGAACCTACAGCTCTTCTAGTCATTTCAACTACACTTCTGTCATCATTGATTTGACTCCATACTGTTGACTTCGGTCTCTCATCCCATTCAGTCCTCAGTCCAAAGAAGCCATGTCAACTTACCCTCACAGGTCTTTTGGGGGCTTGAATTTTAAGCATGTGATCCCCATCCACCGTCATAACTGAGCATACAAAGCCTGGGCTTCTACACCCAACTCAGATACCGAAATGCTCCAACATCTTACAAACTGCTAGTCCTGAATCCAGCTTCAAATGCTCCTGCTGGTATACACTCATCACAAGTTCTCTAACGAAGATGCTACAGCCTGAATACCATAATTAGAAGGGGTGTCCACATATTTTTCATTTATTATATATGTGTTGGATTACAGTTAGATTAGAAAACAAATTACAAATCTATTTACCTATTACAAATAATAAAAACTAAAAAGATATACATTGACATGCCAAAGTCATGGGGTAGCAGTATGTAAATTGATTATGAAGTGGTGGTACCTCAGGGGGTAGCTTGGGAACACCCACAACTGTATAAGTTGTGAGGTGTAGCTGTGAGAGAGGTTTAACACTAGCTAGCGTGCTCATCGCAAGGCGATGCGAATTATCGAATTTCAAATGAGGCATGATGGTGAGTGCCAGACATATGGGAAATTACATTTCTGAAGTTGCGCAGGTATTTAACATTCCTCGATCCACTGTGTCGTGTGTGCCAGGAATACATCATAGAAGGCATTACAACCTACAGTGGATAACGTTGTGGCCGCCCACGGGTGCCTAATGATCGTGACCGAAGGCATCTTGCTAGATTTGTCCCTGTGAACAGACAAGTGACTCTGGCAGAAATCACTTCTACATTCAATGCAGGAGGCTCCACACGCATTACCATAGGTCAGCGCAACGTTCTTTAGCTTCCATGAGATATGGGAGCAGAAGACCCTCCAGAGTGCCTCTCTTAACACCATTACTCCAGACACACCACCTCACCTGGGTGCCTGAGGTTGCTAACTGGACCCAACATGACTGGCAACATGTGGCGTGGTCCGATGAGTCATGGCACGAAATTGTTTCAAGCTGAAGGTAGGGTTCATGTGTGGTGCAGACCCCATGAAGCCATAGACCCTAGTTGTCAACAAGGCAATTTGCAAGCTGGTGGTGGTTCCATATTGGTGTGGGGTGTGTTCTCATGGCATGGTTTGGACCCCTGGTCCACCTGAACATGTCATTGATCGTTTCACTGCTTAGTGACCATTTGCAGCCCTTCATGGACTTTATGTATCCCCACAATGATGGGATATTCCAGGAGGACAGTGCACCTTGCCATCCAACCTGTTGTCCAGAATTGGTTTAAGGAGCATTCTGGAGAGTTCAGGCAAATGATGTGGCCTGCATGTTTGCCCCAATAGAGCATTTAAGGGATGTGGTGGAAAGGTCCATTCACACCAGAGATCCGGCACCTAAAAACACCACAGTGTTATGGGTGGCTGTCTAGATGGCATGGCTCAATATACCTCCAGACGTCTTCTGTCCACTTGTGGAATTCATGGCATGTCGAGTTGCTGCACTTCGCCAGGCTAGAGGGGGCCCTACACGATACTAGTTCCTGTCCCATGACTTTTGGCATATAAATAGGCTATTATTTAGATACAGTTTCTTATGAAGACTAAGCTATGGCTAATTCAAACAGACATGAAAAAAATAACACTATTCAGGTGGGTAATGTGCAAAATAAGACTTCAACACAAAAAATAACTCTGAATATGCAACACTGACAGTAATTTATTTTGCAGCTGGGGTATTGAGTGGGGTGAAGGAGGCTACATCAAGATGGCCAGGAACAAGAATAACCAGTGTGGTATCGCCTCATATGCTGTCTATCCTGTGGTTTAAAGGTATAACTTCTTTTCATTGGATCCAGTCCACAGAGATTTACACTGCTGAGTTCAGTTCCAGCTGCCCTTTTCAGACGGTCATTCAGACCAAGCGCTCAGAAGTTGCTCCTGGGGTTTTTCAGGTTCTAGACGAGGTCTTGTCACCTAAAATGTCTAAACTACAATTAAGTTGTATTAATTTCAGTTTCAAATCATGTACATTTGCATAAGCACATTCTTGCTAAAGGGTTGGCTTTTAAACATCACTGTTCATTTATTTGTATGAAATCAGTCCAAGGTTAGAACAGATGTGTGTCATTCCAGTTGAAACTGAACTCTGCAGGTTAGTGGATCTCCTTGAGCTGGGATTGGATCTCCAGAATTAACCTACATCAATCAATAAGTTGTATTAATTAGAACTATAACAACATTCAAGAATTAGCTTCATTTTAGTTTCACAAAGTAATCATAAAATCAGGTAACAAACAAACAACAATGGAATACAATGGAGTCATACTTTACTTAGCCAAATTAAAATTTCCCATCACTTTAAGAGAAATAAACGTGCAGAGCACACATATTGTCACAGAAACTCAGAAATCAGGCCTGGTATTTTGGTAGGCTATATTATGTTTTGTACTGGTGATCTTATATTTGACATGAGACTACACTCACGATTTCGGTGGTTTCTGTGTGTAAATAACGGTTAATCCTCACTTTTTCTATAACATAGTTCACCTCTGATGACAATGTTACAGTATTACTTTTTCTCTTCATTATCAGGCAGCATGACTTTCATTTCGCTTTTGTTTCATGGTTAAATGTCCAGTACAAAAATCTCTTTCTATCACTTTAGGTTTTTGCTCAAGGAACAAAGTAAAATATACAAATACCTATACAAAACATCATTTAGCCTCACAAAATGTCAGAACTAGGCCTCATATTCTCAACATTCAGCAATTTTTACCATGACTGCCTGATTTCTGAGCTTCTGCAACCATACTGCATTCTGCATGATTATTTGGGGTTAATATGGATCAGTAAAATACAACCCTTTATTCCATTGTCGTTGGTTTACCAATTAATTTTATGCTTAGTTTGTGAAATTGTAAAACAAAAGTCAGTTCTTGTTTTTTCCACTGACAATAACAGAACCAAAAACATTTTTCAATGTTGTTTTTGAAATAAAAATCAAATGAACAGAAGGTACACAGACCAGGATGCAGCAGTTCGTATGTCAATTCTGTTAAAATTTGTTTTTCTACAGATTGGAAAGACAGAACGGAGGAGGTTACAGAGTGATCAGATCAAAATTTATTTACCTATGCAGCAAAAAAAAGAGAAAAAAAATCATCAGTTTCTGTTTTTTCTTTATCTTGTTTTATTTTCCTTTCCTTTTTGGAGTGGTTTTAGCTTTAGATAAACCACTACAGTGCTTCTATCCTTTCAACAAAATAAGCATTGTCTAAAAAATTTAAATCAGTGTGAAATATTTCTGCTTCCTAGTGGTAAAATTATCTAATAAACTTTCAGCATTCACAAAATTCATGTGTAATGGCTTTGATTATTGCTGTGATTATAGTCAATAAAATATTTTGAGGTGTGACGGCTTTGGGAATAGTCAGACACGCACAGAGCAGGCTGAGATAGAAAATGTTTAACGATGGCAAATCCAGAATCATGGTACAGAATGTCGATACATGGGCATAAGAAACAATAAGGTCTAGACTAAGTAAAAAACAGGAGAACAATGGCAATAGTTCAGAAACACAGAAGATCAAACAGAGTCCACAAGGTGTCAGGCTGAAGTCGTAAACAAAAGAACATGCGAAAAACACTAACCGGGAAGTCAAACACAATAACAAAGGCTTGGTAATGCACAGGAGGGAACAATACAAACATGTACATATAGTCCAAGAACAAGTGAAAACAATCAATAATCAGGTAAGCCAGAGCGTGGATAGGTGGATTGCTGAGAGTTCGTGGTCATGTGACTCCCCAGAGGATTCTGGTAGTTGGAGTCCTGAATGGAGTCAGGAGTGTTAGTCTCTGCTACGCCAGCGGAAGGCATGACATGAGGTTATGAGCAGTGAAGTTCTGATTGATCAGGCTTACGTTACTACATACATTATCAGAACATGTATGTCCAGCTGTCATAATCCAGGTGATAAAAATAGAATTGATAGATAAACATCAATCTGTAGTAGAACCAGAGACAGTTTGAGGGGATCTTGACCCTTTCTTATTTCTCCCATTACACCAAAAATTTACTGCTAAATGCTTGAGGGCACCTGCGAGTGAGTCCTCAGTGAATGAGGGTGAATAGAGCTAAAGAGCTAAAAATTTAATAATAAACATTTTGTAACAGTTTATGAAACACCATGACAGCCCTAAAAAGAGAAAGCAGGAAAGCTGAACATAAATGGAGAAAAACTACACTTTAAATTGACTATGACCTCTTTCTACACAAAGACTTGTATTTTTACCGTTTTAAAAATCAAAACTATGACCATTAACACGCCAAAGTCAGATAATGAAACCATGTTGTCTCTATGACCAGCGAGTAAAACACTCACTAAACACTTTATTCCAAGCATCTACCTTGTATCTACACTCTTTGTTCATTATATCGGCTCCACTGACCATATAGTTTCACTTTGTAGTTCTATAGTCACAGACTATAGTCCATCTGTCTCTCTGCATACTTTGTTACCCTGTTCTTCAATGGTCAGGACCCCCACAGGACCCCCACAGAGCATGTATTATTTGGGTGGTGGGTCATTCTCAGCACTGCAGTAACACTGACGTGGTGGTAGCGTGTTAGTGTGTGTTGTGCTGGTACGAGTGGATCAGACACAGCAGTGCTGTTGGAGTTTTTAAACACTGTGTCCACTCACTGTCCACTCTATTAGACACTCCTACCTTGTTGGTCCACCTTCTAGATGTAAAGTTAGACAAGTTTGTGTTGGTCATCCTCTAGTCCTTCATCTGTGGTCACAGGACACTGCCCACAGGACGCTGTTGGCTGGATGTTTTTGGTTCTCAGTCCAGCAGCGACACTAAGGTGTTTAAAACCTCCTGCAGCACTGCTGTGTCTGATCCACTCGCACCAGCATGATACACACTGGCTTTCTTACCAGATGACTAGATGACTATGAAGCACATAAATAATTTGATCAGACAAATTTTCTTCTATTAAAAAAGGAAAAACAAAGATCATTGTGCTTGGCAACAAAGAAAAGACACTTTTGCTTTCCTTGCTTTCCTGGCTTTAAAAACCAAAGACCAAGTCTAAAATCTTCACCTTCTAATAGACTAATTTCTCATCTTCACTGACCATATCAAAGCAGTCACCAAAACAGCCTTGTATTAGAATCAAAGGTTTGGTTTCCCAACAAGATGTAGAGAAGCTCATTCATGCTTTTTTCTCCAGCAGAGTGCACTACTCTAATGGTGTCTTAACTGGAAAAAAGACCGTTAAACAACTGCAGCTCATTCAGACTTAGCTGCTGCTTAAATTTTAACCAGGACCAGGAGAACAGAGCACATTGCTCCAGTTCACGAATCTTTACACTGGCTTTTAGTTAATTAAGGAATTTTTAAGTGCTGCTAGGAGTCTTTAAATCACTGAATGGCTTTAACCCAGAACACAACTCTGAACTGACACAACACTGAACATAAAGCACTGAACATAAAGCAAGTAGGTCTCTTAGATCCACGGATACAGGACAGCTATTAAAACCCAGAGTCCGAACTAAGCATTTAGCTGTCATGCTGCATACTACTGGAAAAAACTGCCACAATATCTTAGATGAGCTCCAAATGTAGCAATTTAGGTAGGTTTACAGCATACAGATAATCTCACATGTCAGACTAGAGCGGGCAGAAGTCATAACATAAAAATGCAGCTTATCCGATTAAGTGTCAACTCCAAACCTGTCCTCCTCTCCTGAATACTAACCATCAACAGTGCGTATACACACACACACATCTCCTATTCCCCCTCAACAGAACTCCTACGAATACTCTCTTCCTCCACTCTTTGCGTGTTACACTGCAATCCTGAGCCTTTCCCCCTTTGATTCATTTAACTTTGTGGATTTTTTGTCTGGCCTTTTTGACTTCTGATTTTGGATTTTGTCTCGGATTTTTCTGGTACTTTTGTATGTCTTTTGACCTCTGACCCTTTGCTCTGCCACCGACTCTGCTTTTGGGCTGTGTTTCTTACCTTTGTTCCAGTTCAGTAAAAGCCTGCTTATGGATCCAACAACCCTGCCTGGCTCTGCATTGTTACAGAATGCTTCCTTGGATTCAGTGGGCCTGCAGAAACTGCACTCAGCAGTAGCTGCTTAAAGAAAAACTCACATGATTCACATGAACAACAATTAAGGTGCTTTAATGATACCATGAAAGAGTTAGTCCATGCCCTGCACAATCTGAATCTTGCACCCACAACACACCCCCCCTCTAGCTTCATTGTCCCACTTAACCACCCACGACTAAAACACCACGCCTAGCCACCCTGATAAATTTGACAGGTTCCCCGGACAATGAGATGGCTTTTTACTGCAGGGCTGAAAGATTTACTGCAAGATTTATTTTAGTTGAATCTAGTTTATTTGACAGTCTCACTTGGGCCACGACAATGTGGACTGCACATAACCAGATCTCACAACCATTTGCTTAATTTGATGCTGCTTTTCAGGAAGTATTTGATCACACAGTGTCTGAAAAAGATTCAGGGGAGCAGTTGTTGCAGCTGAGGCAAGGTAGGAAATCAGCTTCTGAACTTGCTCTGGCTTTTTGCAGCCTAGCAGCCAATGTGGCTGGAATGATGAAGCTCTGCAAACAATTTTTCATCAAATACTTAACAATACTTTGAGATCTGATCATCTAAGGATGATCATCTGAGCATTTCCTAACTCTTCTGTCAATAAAGCTGGACAATCTATTCCAGAGCAACAACAAATTGCACCCCTCTCCTACCCCCTAGCCACAGCTTCTCCTTGTAAGACACAGAGCCTATGGAGATAGACTGAGCCAAGCTTTCTTCTGAAGAGAATCAACAAAGAAAGAGAGAAGGACTGTGTCTGTATTGTGGTCAACCAGGGCATTTTAAAACATCCTGTCCATCTTTACCTAAGGCTTCAATGAGGGTGAGTGTTCTGTTTTTCCCAGTGTTCGAAGTAGAAAACTCATTCTGACAATTAAACCAACATGGAACTCTCATCATGTTTGGCTTTTATCCCTAGTGGATTTAGGAGCAGCACCTCTTTAGACTGTGAACTGGCACTCTCCCTTTTTTTAGCATGCAAAACACCCCTCTCCATGAGGGGTCTTAATTCTTAAAATATTGGCACAGGAAAAATCAGCGAAACTACGACTCCTCTTACATTATTCACAGCCCTTCTTCATTCAGACTCTTTCCCTTTTCGTCATCGTGTCCCCTAATAACTCTATCATTTTAGGATATCCCTGACTAGCATAGCACAAGCCCTTTTTGGGCTAGTCCACGGAGGAACAAAAGCAGTGGAGTGTGCATTGTCTGACTCTCCCTTGTTTATCCCCAAATATAGAAAACCACCTACGTCCAAGTCATTTTTGCTCCTTAATACCATGATTTGGCAGATATGTTATGCAAAAGTAAAGCTGCTTGTCACCGCCCTGACTGGCCCTGGGACTGCTCAAGCTCTTCCCATCAAGCTCTTCCCAGGTACCACACCTTCCCTCTCTCCACACCAGAGAGAGAAGCTATAGAGGAATGCATAAACAAGGCCCTGGTTGCATTCGCCTGTCCACTGTGCCTGCAGCTGCTGATGGGACATTTAGCAATCCACATGACATTACAGAGTATTCATAGTATCCAGATGTAGTTATGAATGTCGTCTTTCATTCATCTTCCTTTCTGATGTTGATGAGGTTATATGCACTGTGCAAATCTGATTTTGTAAAAACCCTTGCATTTCTTACTTGTTCTATGGCAGAGGGCAACAGGAGTAGAGGGTATAGATTTTTTACTGTGATGGCATGCAGACAATAGTCTTTACCATCTTTCTTTTCCACAAAAAGAAACGATCAAAGAACAGAAAAGCTGATGCTCTGTCACGTATGTACGAAACTGAACAAACCAGACTAACTGAAGAAGCTGCTGGTTTCTTTTTGTGACAAGGAGCATAATGCTTCAGACGACTTAGCTCTAATCAATTACAACCAATAAATTTATTATAATAGAAGCAAATCTAATGCAACACAATTCTTTCCAAAGTAAGAAGTAACTGTGTTGATGAGCAACATATTTTATCCATTTTTAATCCAGTAGCACATTCAATTTTCATTATACCAGTTTGAACCAAAAACATTCACAATGTTGTCTTTACAGTACAGGAATGTTCATTTAGAGCAATGGAAAACACAAAATAGTCCGTGCAAAGATAATATGTAAAATTAGGTGTGTAAAACTATTGTGTATCCTCTAGCAAACCTTGGTACTGATGGAGGGTG